TACTGTAGCGGAGTTCGATGTCACGTGTAGTGCTATACTGATATATGAAGAATACACAGCAGAGTGGTGTTGATGTTTTTGCACGGTCTTTGGGTGTTTCTTGCATGGCTGTTGGTTAAACTTTTTTTTTAGCGAGGCCAATTTCTCAGTGCGGGCTGTAAACAATGCGACCTGCACCGTGCGGGGCGACCCTGAACCTGGCCGTCAGCACCACCAATAATGCAGTGCTACGCCGGATGAATTATTTACTGTTTTGCGCTTCATGCTCTACTCTGTCTGTTTTCGTAGCGGGCATCGACTCCATCGAGTAAACTTACGAACACAGTACTCTGCACCAACCCTTCATTTGATGTAACTCTGCAGTTCGAGGCTGTGTTTCACCGACAAGAATAACCTCTCCCAGGTCAGTGGCTCAGTGTTTATCGGTGAGTTGGTGGTACAAGGCTATGCCATGTTCCCCCGCTGAGCTGTTCCTTCGCGGCATGCATGACAGTCGACCGCCTCAATTGAATAGTGTTTATTTACGGTCTTATTTTTGGGTCTCCATCTCTTGTGCGCTGTCTCTCAATATTTACGGATACACTGCATATAACCAACTTTTGCATTAACAGCCACAGCCATTACCGGCTTGCCATTCGTTGCTACCTTTGGGCTTGTGCGATGCCAAGAAGCACGGATTGCAGACAAGGTTTTGAGCTGACGTCTTGGGCGGATTCGCTGCACGGTTGATCTTCATCTTAGAGAGGTTGGGGTTTGGGAATAAATGATCTCGGTTGCCCGCCTTCTTGGTCCTGGTTCAGAGTTTACACAACCTTATCAGCCATCTAACTCTAATCATTTACTCTAATTACAGACTTCCTACCTACATTCACAATGCCTTCCTTCGCAAACACCTTCCTCGCTCTGGCTTCCCTCCTGGCCGTCTCCAGCGCTGCACCCACTGTTGTGCCCCGCGCCAGCAGCTGCCCCTCCACTGGCAAAGCTCGCGCTCAGCCCTCCGCCCTATACAACGTCTACCCTAGCGCCCCCAACGTCGCAAAGAAGTCACCTGGCTTCCACATCGAAACCTACAACAATGCTTCACAAGTCGAGCAGCTCCTCGTCTTTAGCGACATCCCCGCCGAAGCCAAGTCTTGCAGCGTCGGCTGGGCTCAGGGCGAACGACCCGAGCGCATCTTCATCGTCAAGGGCGGCGATGGCTTGACCTCTGTCAAGCAGCTGTCTGGCTTCCCCGATGCCAAGAACGTCAACTACAACACCGCCAAGGAGTTCGATACGATCGATGAGTCTGTCGGTGCTGCCGACTTTACCAACTGGGACGATCTTCCTGCGCAGGGACATATCATTGGCAGCATTGACTGCAAGAGCTCCATCTACCTCAAGGCTGCTCTGCGAAACCCCGATGGCAACACGAAGGTCTTCCTCGAGCAGAACAGCAAGAATGGCTTGTACATTGAGTACAGCTGCTAAAAAGCACGCCGCTCGCATACAAACGCTTCAATTCTCAGTACATATTTAATTATACAAGGACACGGGGTTATTTTTTGGAGGAAGGTATCTGGGACAGGATGGATGGATGGAAACATAGAGGATGGCCAGCCTTGGCCTACGACACGACATGAAGCACCATGACATAGAATTAATTGAACGAGCTCTTCAAAGCCTTGAATTTTTGATCAACAATGATCGCCTGGGGTTTATTTGTTTACCTGAAACAAGATCGTCGTTGATTGACGGTCATGTCTTGTGCGGCAGAAATGCAACTGGTGGAAATGCTGAGCTGGAGAGGAGCTCGGATTGCCACCCAGCAGTTGTGATGTCATGGCAACAGTTGCCAGCCAATTTGGCTTTCTAGAATTGTACCAGAATTGTGCAAAGGATGCGCTTAGAATGGCCGACTCGCGCATTGATGCCCATGACTTTTCTTAAGGTTATCGTAGCCTAATCTGGAGGAGAGTAGGGGGAGGTTCGAGCCAGGGCCTGCAATCGAATTTCAGCAGGGACAGAGCTTCAGCATCAGCTTCTGCGACGTCAATGTCTTGATCAATTGATGCCAACATCACAGTTGCTCTCATGCTTACATGTTTTTATTAATCCACGTCGCTCATTTTGCTTTTTCTTCTTTCGAATAATAGCCCGCTCATGCAAGGCGTAGACTGGCTGTCATTGTCGACCGTGAATCGTACGACACATCGTAAGCTTGTCAGTGTCAGTGAAAATGCCAACAAATTCTTACAATCATGGCAGGGCTGGATCAACCTTGGCAATGCGTCTTGATCACTTCGCATCTATTCGACATTTCTTTCTAGATAATACGAACCTCTCTCATATCTCAAATAAATAATTGGTGATCATTCCCCCGGGTCAAGTTCAGAGCATTTTGCGGTTATTCCCGAGATTGGTAAAGCGGTGGACCACCAACTCAAAAAAGGGATAGACTCGCCCCCACTGACTCTCCTGTTGTCAGATTCTCATTGGTCTGTAGCTGTCCTTCCCCAGTGTAAACTTAGGGGTAAAGTATCTTTTTCTCTGTCCCTCTCTTCAGGGTCCTCCTCTTGCTCTGCTCTGCTCTGTCTGTCTGTCCAACATCAAGACTCAACCTTGAAGCTGGCTGGACCCTGACTACGCTAGCCAATAGCCCCTCACCCCTTTCTCATCCCTCACCATCTTACTGTTTGAACTCTCGACACAGATTTGCCGAGGACACATTCTGCAAACATGGCGGAGCATCTCGTTTTCCACCCGCAGCTCACAAAAGCCGATGCGCTAATCCTCGAGGGCTTGCGCCAAGACATCAACGAGTACAAGCCCAGTCAAGATGCCCAAGCCGCCCCCAAAGGTGTGTACAGCAGCAGCCTGTCTCAGTAAAAATAGTAGCTAACGCAGCCAACAGCCCGTGATGAGGATCTACTGCGCCATCTGCAAGCCATGAATGACCCCAAGGATGCGCACTTTGAGGAGAGCATCACCAGTTCATGGGACTTTGATCAGATCAAGTTGCCACTTTTCCTCGAGAAGCTGGTGCTGCGACCATACGTGCGGATCGCCAAGTCTATCGTCCGTGTTGACACAGATGTGATTATGCTCACGCATCTTCTGCTGTACTTCTCAACGTCGTTACCCAGCGCTATTATGCTGTACCGCAATTTCTCGTGGATTCATGGTATTCTGCATTTTATTATGCAGTTCACATACATGGGCTCATATACGCTGCTGATGCACCAACATATCCACATGCGCGGTGTTCTCAACAAGCGTTTTGCTCTGTTTGATAGCTTGTTTCCTTACATCACTGACCCTTTGATGGGACACACTTGGAACTCATACTTCTACCACCACGTCAAGCATCACCATGTCGAAGGCAACGGACCCAACGATCTCTCATCGACAATCCGATACCAGCGTGACAGTCTGCCTCACTTGCTGCACTACATCGGCAAGTTCCTATTCTTCGTCTGGGCTGAACTTCCGCTGTACTTTATCCGAAATGGAAAGACCATGACTGGACTCAAGGCCATGTTCTGGGAGCTTTCTAACTACGCTTTCCTCACGACTATGTTCTGCTTGAACCGAAATGCTACGATCTGCGTGTTCCTCATGCCGCTTGGACTTATGAGATTGGGTATGATGATGGGCAACTGGGGTCAGCACGCCTTTGTGGATGAGAATGAGCCTGACTCTGATTACCGCTCGAGCATCACTGTCATTGATGTCATGGTACGTTCCGACCCCAATCTCACTTGAAACCAGATACTAACTATACACAGAGCAACCGTCAATGCTACAACGACGGCTACCACACCTCTCACCATCTCAACCCCCGTCGCCACTGGCGCGAGCACCCCGTGCATTTCCAAAAGTCCAAGCACACTTACGCCAAAGAGCACGCCATTGTCTTCCACGATATCGACTACTTCATGATCACTGTTAGACTTATGATGAAGGATTACAAGACACTCGCCAAGTGCCTTGTGCCCATTGGCGACCAGATTGGATTGACGTTGGATGAGCGGGCTGCTATGCTGAAGAGAACTACGCGGCGATTTACCGAGGAGGAGATTCAGAAGAAGTTTAAGAAGCAGTAGACAGGAGTTTGGACGCAGATAAAAATAAGTGTTTTGGAGCTGGTGGATATACTGTCATTTGAATAGACAAATGCATACAAGGGAGTTTGTCGTTAATTTAATCTTTGTTTGAACCCCATAAATCTTATCTATGGTAGAAGTAGCTGCAATAATTGTTATGAACAGCATGCGTATGCGAGATCGTATGTCTACTCCACTGGACGTCATCGTCACATCATCGCTTCACCCAACAACCGCCGCTTCTCCCGCAGACTCACTCCTCCCAACTACCAAAATGGCATCAACTCAGTATCTACGTCGAACCACCGAGTCCCTCGCCCACGATGTAATCACCCTCCTCAAACAAACCCAGTCAACCGTCGCCGTCGCCGAGTCCCTAACCGGCGGCAGCATAATGGCAGCCCTTACTTCTATCTCTGGCTCCAGCAGCGTATTCCGCGGCGGAATAGTCTCATACGACACCGGCCTCAAGATCAAGATTCTCAAAGTTGACAAAGACATCATTTCTCAGCATGGGGTCGTTCATGAAGAAGTCGCGCGGCAGATGGCGACTGGGATACGAGACGTTACTGCGCTGGACACGCCTACTACGTGGGGAGTCAGTACGACAGGTGTCGCCGGGCCGGAACCGCAAGATGGGAAGCCTGCAGGGACGGTGTTTATTGGGATTTCGGGGGGTGGGCGTGACAGAGCTCTGGGACCGTTTCGGTTTGAGGGCGGACGGGACGACATTCGGAGGGAGACGATTCTTGAGGCTTTGGAGCAGTTGAAGAAGTTACTCAATGATAGAACGACAGACTCTTCTTAAATGAGATGACGTGATGGTCATTTTGATTTACGGATACGCGGGAATTAGATACATTGCTTGGTAGTCGATGAAGACAAGAACACTTTTGATCTACCACTCTATATGAATACTTCATTAAGTTTGTTATAAGGTTCTGAAGTAAGTGTATGATGAATTTGAGATATGTGTTCCTGGTTGGACTTTGCTTAATTGGTCGGAATACAGTCAGCTTACATCCCGGACTTTGGAAATCGAGATTGTCCGATACTCAGAGTCTGGAGTTAACCAACCCTAATTGCGCATCTTATAGTCGTCACTAATATCCCATTTGTAATCAAGCAGATCTGCAAGGATATTGCCATATCATTTGCTTAGGTTTCTTGGGTTTTCGCAATTGCTACAGCGGACATAAGCCACAACGATCAGACATGCAGATGCAAAGAGCCTATGTCATGATGGATATATCGGATTTAGAAATCCCATTGAGAAGAGTGCTTACCAGTGACTCTATATTGCTAGAAAGAGATTATTAGAAGAACGGCATCGAGCTTTATGAGATTTTCGTATAAGATGTTGCTTATTTTCCAGTATTGCATCCAATCTTAGTAACTGAAACCAGCGTCTTGCCAACCGAAAACTTGACAACCTATCATGATGCAACTCAAGTCTTTTGTTCTCACGCTACTTCCGCTACTAGTGGAAGCAAGTCCAACTATCAGAAACGATGGAGTCGCCTCGCTAGCCGTGAACACCAGCTCTGGCATCTTTGCTCCATACTTCTCCAAACATCAACCAAAAGTCGCATCATTCCTCGACATTCCCTACGCAGAAACACCAATTGGAAACCTCAGATTCGCACCTCCAGTAGCGAAGCACTACCCCGGCGATGAATTGGTCCACACCACGGAACTTCCTGTTGGATGTATCCAATATGTCGTGCCTTTACTAAGAGGAGCTGTTGGTGATGGACCCGTCACCGCTGGGACATTTCAACGTGGAGACTACGCGAATACAACTGAAGATTGTCTCAAACTTTCACTCTTCTCTCCTGAGAAAGCCATTCGCCGAGATGAGGGTGACAAGTCTGAAGCGCTACCGGTCATTGTCTGGATCCACGGAGGAGGTTATTCCGTCGGCGGCACCAACGTCCCTTATCAACTTGCCCCAAACTGGGTGCAACGCTCCCAAAAGCACATAGTCGTCCAAGTGCAATATCGTCTCAACCTTCTCGGTTTCCCTAACGCTGCAGGTCTAGCAAAGGAAGGCAAGAATCTCAACCTCGGCCTTCTTGATCAACGTCTCGCTGTTGAATGGGTCCGAGATAACATCGCCCGCTTCGGAGGCGATCCTAACCGAATTACGCTTTGGGGTGAAAGCGCTGGGGCTTATGCTGTTGATGGATATCTTTTTGCTTGGGCTGCCGATCCTATTGTGAAGGGCGTCATGGCGGATTCCGGGAATGCTTTGGCTATCGAGGGAGTGCTTGGCGATGCGAAGAATCATACTGGGTTCACTAAATCTGCGAAAGCTTTGGGCTGTGGAGACTTGTCTACTGATGAGGAGTTAAACTGCATGCGAAAAGTTCCTGAGAGTGAGTTGAAGAGGTATCTCCAAGCGGGGGTCGGCCAAGGAGGTGCTGCTGCTGATGGCCTCGGCGTCTCGGTTGTTCCAGACAACATCACGGTGTTTTCCAACTATACTGAGAGGCTCTCCAAGAACTCCCCCAAGTATCCTGTTGGCATTCCCCTTCTGATCGGAACCAACACCAACGAAGGAGCTGCTGTCATTCCATATAACTTCACCGGCTATAAAACGGCAACGGAGATACCAGACACTCTGAAACCTGTTGCTGACGGATTCGGAATAAATCTGCAATGCACCACTCTCAAAGAGACCCGTCTCAGAGCTCAAGCAGGCGCTGCGACTTATCAATATCTCTATGGTGGCAATTTCACCAACATCTCGCCTTTGCCATGGCTAGGCGCTTATCACACTGCGGAGTTGCCCCTCATCTTCGGAACATACGGTGATGAAGGGCCATCTACTAAGTTCGAGCGCAGGGTGAGCGAGAGAATGCAAGATTTGTATTTCAAGTTTGCTAGTGATCCCGCGCATGGATTGGAGAAGGCTGGATGGCCAGTGGCAGAGTCGAGGGTGGAGAGAAGTAAGCTCGTCAAGTGGGCTACTGATGGTAAGGTTGAACAGATTGTGGGAGTACAAGATTTGGTGAATGAGTGCATAGAGAAAGGGTTTGCCGTGTAGTATAACACTGGTATCGTGGCATCGGAAAGATCGGCCGCTTGAGACATGAGGGACGGAATCTCAAGTCACTTAATGGTTGCTCATATGAGTATCTACGCTACTTTATCTTATTGTGATAAGTCTTGGAGAAAATCAGACTGATTATCGCGCATTATCATTGATAGCCTCGGTGTTGATTATCTTTAGAAGCAAAGATAGACTTGTCACAATGTAACCTTACTTACAGATTCTGGAAGGTCGTTATTCCCCTCGTCGTCTTGATTGGCGCATTCAATTCGACCCCTCGAAAGACCTGACGATCACTATCGGTGTATCAACAAATAATCGCCAAGACAGACTAACAATTATCCCGTGAGATAGCAACACCCAAAAGCCAAGCTTTCCCATGTATGTAACGATCAGACTGCACTCAGATTCGGTCGCTTCAACATTGCAGTAGCTCGTTACAGGGGTTCACCAAACAAAACCACGGACTTCATGCAAAGACGGTAACCCAGCCAATCGGAGGCCCTACTCTTAAGTCTAAATGTGTACCCTAGAGGGAAACACTCCGTGATGTTTTAGGAATGTGCCTATGTGCCGGCAGATGAAACCTCCAAACAATTAAGGGTTCGCATGAGAGGCGGAAATAATGCCGATTCCATATAAGCTGTGTGATATAGATTAGCTTGGAGATGAGTATATATGAACCTCAGATGCCCAACTTCAGGTACAGCTTCACGAACATCTTCAATCTTCACAAGTTCAGTTTGGTCAACATGCGCTTCTCCACCGTCTTCACAGCCCTCGTGGCCTGCGTTTCCACCACCGACGCTGCCATTACTTGGACCCTCGAGAAAGCGGCCAACCCAACCGCCGACCAGCGCGACGCCTATGGCCGCATCGAGAACGCCATGCGCCTTGCCGCCGATCGCTACAACCGTCTCGGCAGCGCGAACAAGAACATCCGCGTCTCGTACAACACCGGCGTCCCCACCGCCGACGCCAACTACAACGGTAGTCTACGCTTTGGCGCCAACAGATCTTTCATGAACGAGCGTACTGCTCTGCACGAGATTTCACACACTGTCGGAATTGGCCAGACTGCTGCTTTTGACAGAAAGTGTGCGGCGAATGACTGGCCTTCTGCGACACGCCTTCTAAGATCTTGGGATGGCAACTCGGCCAAGATTAACTGCGGTGGTGGACATATCTGGCCTTATGGTCTTAACTACGACAATGAGTGGAGTGAGACCAACGCCAATCGACATGTGCAGCTTGTCAATGCTATGATACGAGATGGAATGTAAGGAATGACGAGATATGATTGTGTTGAAACCTTCTATGGAAATACCAAGACCAGTAAATATTTTATGAGTTGCAAATACTGTTCATGCTCAACCTTATTTCTCATTTACCTGAAGTTAACGCCTGAAGATATTGCTTATTCTCAAGTATCTTATGACTGGTAGTATAAGATGATATCGATCTGTAAGGACGTATAGAATCCACTTACTCTTTTTCAAGTCGATATCTTACCCTATGGAGGTTTGAGGATAGTGTCCTCGGACAGTGGAGTAAGCGGGGAAAGATAGTGCTGTGTCTGTGTTAGCTACAACAACCCGGATGTCGTTCAAGCCGAAAGAGCCAAGATGAAGTTCGAGTCAGCATTGACAATCCCTCACAGAGCGTTCGCCCCTCGCGCCGATTGTAGCGTCGGTGCGATTCCGAGATGACATGAAATGCGCGGAAGACTTGATAAGTTTTCCGTTCTGTCTGAACCAAGTTTTCCCTTCGTCTAGAATGAAGATCACATCTCGCCAACAATCCGAATGGAGAAATCCCGTCGATCAACTCATGATGCTCAAAACAAACACAAGATAATGACTTGGGAGCAAGGATTATCCTTTGGTCTACATCTCTTTAAAGCCCACTACCGGACCTTTTAGTCTAAGTTATACTAAGCCAATAAGGGATCAATGGGTCACTAGCAGATCCCGAGTAGCTAAATGATCCCTGGGCTCTTTTTTAATATAGACTGGACCTGAGGCAATATGTATTAAGGTGATGAAAAGGTGCTGTAGTGGGCACCAAAGCGATGTAAAATTGGCTGATACTCCTTGAAAGGGGGAAGTCGCTGGTTATGAAGCAGAAATCAAGGAGTTCTGGAAGAAGATCAACTTTGAGTCCGGAGATCTCGGTCAAGGTGTTCCTGACGATCGCTGTCAAAACCAACGACTCTTTCGTCATGGGCGCTCAAATCTGCCCTCAGAAACAATGTCTCATTTGGCGATAGTGGGGCACCGTTGCATCGATCCTACAGTACTCGATCACCCTCTCTCATCAGCGTCGTTGTTGTTCAACGTTGACCATGAAAGATGATTAGTAACCTTCCGGATAAATCGGCCATTATCATCAGTTCGCTTTGACAATTAAGCAGTTGACTTACTCTTTAGCCAAGTCTTGGCTCTATATAGGAGTTCAAGAAAAGAAGTCATTCACAGTTGGTCTGACTCGTCTAGCCTCGTCACCACCCAATGACACCTCAGCGTGGTATCGTAGCTTCAACCCTACGCACTGACCATGACATAGTTATCAAAAAGTGTCGATCTCTGGTGGACTATAGCGGATTTGTTTAATTGTGATCGCCCGCCGGCAGTTAACGCACGTTTCATTTAGTTCTACGTTTCAAGCTAAAGAAACAATTCGTCTAAACATCCCACAAAAGACCCTTGCTGGTCAAATTCTCCTTGTCTGTGACTTCATCGTCGAAGATCTAATTTTCGGTTATGGCGCATATCCGAGATAATATCTCCTTTCAATAGGGGTGATTAGTTGCTATACGGGTGGACTCACAGGATTTGTGAAGATATATAAGGTTGGCTGTTGTCTCAGTTTGTAGATGTTCTTCACCCACCACTCTCGCTTCAATCCAGTCACTCTTTAATCTAATACACAACTCACCCAGTCACTCTTTATCACTTTTATTAATTAATACCCTTCAACTTTCAAGATGAAGTTCAGCCTCTTCTCCGTTGTTGCCTTGGCCTCTGCTGCCATGGCTGCTCCCGCTGTCAAGGTCGATGCCAAGGTCGGCAAGATCGAAGCCGCTGTCCAGGCCCGCCAGGCCGCCAATGTTCCCGTTGTTGGTGGTCTCACTGAGACCGTCACCTCTGGCACCATCACCAAGAGCGTCACCAAGAAGATCACTGGCACCAAGGTTACCAACTCTGGAGGCGTTGTCAAGGTTCTCACCATTGCTGTCGACGAAACTCTGACTCAGACCGGCTCTATCAGTAAGTCCACTCACTTCTACAGTAAGAATTCAAGTTACTAACCCATTTACAGAGAAGACCATCTCCCAGGTCAAGGCCGGTACTCTTAGCAAGACCGCTGCCATCACCCACGTCCACCAGAGCGTCTCCATCATCAACGACCTCCTCACCACCGTCATCGACCAGCTCAAGGATCTCGTCAAGATCGACATCAACCTCCCCGACGTCCAGGTCATCCTCGGCCTCGTCATCAAGCTTGTCCACGAGGTTGTCGGTCTTGCCAAGGACATTGTCAGCGCTCTCGGCATCGACAACATCCTCGGTTCCGTCCTCCAGATTCTCTTCCGCCTCGTCGCCACCCTCCTCGG